AAACTTTAAAGATTTATTACTCAAAACTTTTATAATAATTTTAAAAAACTTTCTTAATAAAGTTGTTAAAATAAATATTAAAAAAAATATTTTACTTAGAAAGTATATATTTAAAGTTAATATTTAAAGTTTTATTTTATAAATTACAAAAATTAAAAGTAGACGCAAGCAAATTTGCCTGTATTACAAATTAAAGAATAAAACCTTAGAAGATTACTATTTCAGTAACTCTGTAATAACAAAATAATTAGTTAAAGAAATAGCTTTAAGAACAAAAAAAATATTTAGCTATAATTAATAATATTTAGCTATAATTGATAATGTTTAGCTATAATTGATAATGTTTAGTTCTGTTTAGCTATATTTAATAATGTTTAATAATATTTAGAAAAAGATATATAAACTTTAACTTTTTTTTCTTCTTATAAAGTAGTTCTGTATTAAGTTCTATAATCTTTTATAATTCTTTAATAAAATACAGTATTTAATAAAGTTCAAAGTTCTCTATTAATTCCTTAATAAAATATAATCTTTGCCTTGTAAATACTTCCTTTAAACAAACTGCTATAGTGATATAATATTCTATTTTGATACTATTAGAAATTCTCTTTTTGTATTTTATGTTACTTGTAATATATTAAGAAAGCTATACTACTTGTAACATTATTTTGAAACTAGATTAAAAAAAGATTTAAAATTTTAATAATAATTAGAAATTACTAATTATTGATTAAAAAATAGAATATACTGTTTATATAATAAACTACTTTTAGAAGATAAATAGCTTTTGCAGCAGATCAAACTTAGATACTTAATATAGCTAAATTAGTTCAGATTATAATCTGTAAAGCAGTATATAGTTATATCAAAATATAATAGTATACTATATGTTATCTTTTGATAAATTATTTCTAAATAAAGAAAAAAACAAAATCACTTAAATGAAAAAAAAAAAAAAAATAGTAAGCAGTTTTAAATTTTGATCTTTAGACCCGTGGGTCGATAGCGCAGTGGTTAGTGCTCCCAGGTCACAATCGCAAGGTTGCGGGTTTGAATCCAACTGAGTGATAAAACTTCGCCAGGACCACGATTGAAAAAAAGATCTTCAGAGGACTTTTCTGTTTAGAAAAGAACAAGATCCATATGTACAAAAGCAGTCCGCTGGCATAACTACAACGTCGGGGACGACCAGATAAGATGTAATCTGTTAACAAATGATGTTAACATTGAGGAAACCCAGCATAAGGACTAAAATAAAAAGAACGATTCGGCTAGTAGGTCATGTGAAATTAGGGAACTGCGGACCTAGAGAACATAGGTCCTACACCACGGGACCAGGGACCCAGGACGTCATATGACAGACTTAATAAAGCATGAGCTATCTCACGAGTTCAGTGACATACAGAGGCCTGCAGCCTTCCGTTGATCTCCGCAGAATGATAACTCTGGCCTTAAAAGATGTGACAGATCCTAAGATGTCTAAGGACCTTCAGAATAGCGGAGGGAGATAAAAAAAAAAAAAAAAAAAATTTTGATCTTTAAATAGATATTTCTTATAATCTAGTAATCAGAATCAAATAAATTTTATATTATTAGATTCATCTTAGTAAAGATTATTTGATTCTATTATAAGATATATCTATTTAAGATAATAAAACCGTTTTAGACTAGCGCGCATAAAATTAAAACTGTGTAACTGTGATTTGTAACACTAGACTTAAGTTCTTACATAGTAATTGCGCAAAATTACTGCTGCGTAAATCAAATTGACAAAATAGACAAGTGATTTAAATTTAATAGTTATTTGACTATATTAAATTATCAGAAAAAAAATTTTTTTTCAATTTAATACTCTGTTAAAAAGGGAATTTTAAATAATTAGGCATTGGCATCGAAATTTAATAGGTTGTCTTATTTGTCTTAACCCTTGCTTGACCGATTATCGTTATCATGAGACTCTGACCTGACCCTTTGTCAAAAAATTCGTTGTTAGGGCAAGTGATCTAATCATGTGATGATTCTACTATTAAGTTTCATATAACAAATGGTCTACGTATTTGAAATAGCAAATGACCTTGGAATTTGTAATAATAAAAATTTAAGTTTTGACCGACCATTATTTTTTTTTTTTTTTGATCGGTAGAAACAATGCAAATATTTGTAAAGAACTTAACTGGCAAGACAATTACCTTTGAAGTTGATTCTACTGATACTGTTGAATATCTAAAGAAAAAAATTCAAAATAAGGAAGGAAGAATTCCCTTAAACCAACAACGTCTAATATTTTCTGGCAAACAACTAGAGGACTATCGCGCGATTTCTGACTACAATATACAAAAAGAATCAACTCTTCATCTTGTTTTACCTCTCTTAGGCGGCATGCGACTACTAATTAATACTCCACTTACAGGTCGCAGCGCGAGTAGCCTTGATGAGGTGACTCTAAAATTAGAGAAGAGAATGATATCAGAGAATGTGAGATCAACTGATGAAATATGCTTGTCTATCGTACGGAAGCTTGAAAATGATCATAGTTATCGTGATGGTGTCTTGGAATTAGCTGATAATTTGGATCGCGTATCGATTGGTAGTTTGATGGAACATAAAATAATTAATAAATTATTGGATTCATTTTCTAACAATGACAAGATATCAATATTTTATGACGAAATTATTAAGCCTTTCGTTGAACATGAAGTTGATTGGAAAAGCTCCTCATTTGGAAAATTAATTCAACAACTATTAAGAGAATTAGATGATGCAATTAAATATTATCGTTATCATACACTTAATTCGGATCAACTATTCAGTGTACTTTCTAGTCGCTTTAATATAAAGTTTATTGCAATGGACAATTCCAGTCATACAATAAGAAGTAATGTTGGGCCATGTGAGCGATTTAGAGATGTTTCACGAAGGTTAGCTCGCCAGATCAACCGAACCACATTGTCTCGGGATCACATGAGTATTCGTCGTCGTCATATTCCAACTGAATCTATGGAACCAGAAACTTC